TCCCCCCCCCCCCCCCTTTCTTTTTGTGTTTGTTACTCTTTAGTAACACCTCTAATCTTCGGCACTTATATGACCTTATTGTGTTGCAAGTGCCGTAAAACACTTGCCAAAACCAAAACAATTTATTTACCGAGTTGTTAGAGGGCGCCACTGTTCTATTCCTGTACCATCCCTATTGTTTACTTCTGTCTGTCTGTGACCAAGCTTATAAACCGTTATAGTGGGTGGTTGACGCGTGCGCTGGTGTGGATTGCTCTTTCTTTCCTACCAAACATCTATCGTCCTTATCTCTCCGTGGGTGGTTGGCGGGTGCTCTGGTGTGGTTTGCTTCTTCTTTCCTATCAATCATCTATCGTCCTTATCTCCCCTCCTTCTTTTTATGTTTGTTACTCTCTCGTAACACCTCTAATCTTCTAGCACTGATATGACCTTAAGCAGTTGCGAGCGCCGTAAAACCTCTACTAAAACAAACAATTATCTCTCCTCCTTTTTGCGTGTATGTGTGTGTATTTTCTCTCTTGCTACACTTCTAATCTTCCGCACTTTTATGACCTTAAATATTGTGTTGTAAGTGCTGTAGAACTCGTACTATAACTCTTTAATCAAGCAGCTATAGTCGTCAATGTGCTAGATACCATAGTTGACTAGCCTCTTTCCCCCACACTCACTATTCCACAGCGACCGCATGGGTTTCTGGTCTCAGGACGGTTGCCGTGTGCTCCGCTCCAACAAGTCCTCCACTACCTGTGAGTGTGATCACCTGACCAACTTTGCCATCCTCCTTGATGTCCATGGAGTGAAGGTGAGAATTAATTAAAGCATAAAACAAACATTATGCTACAAAGTTTTCAAATCAGACGCTCGTCTAGATTTGGGCCCGAGGAGTTATTTCTATCGCCTTAAAGTTTGTTTATTTGCCTTGCTTTTGGTGAATAAAAGGCCCATTTATCTCGAATACAAGTCGAGATATTAGCGATTGAATAAGGTGGGAGTCACCTAGGTTCAGAGGCAAAAATTAGATAGAAAATGACAGGCACAGTTTGGTTTAGCCTGCGAGGTTCGTGGAAACTGACAATTTACTTTTTTGTGTCTTTAATCAACATTTTTCAGTTAACTCCACATAGAAATGGGTTCCGTAAAAAAAAATCTCCAAACCGGCGGAAAAATGCGGGTTTCTTAAATTTCAATATTTTGACGAGCGCCTGGCTTCACCACGCTGCCTCACAGTGCGCGTGGTGTGTGCGTGCGTGTGTGTGTGTGTGTGTGTGTGTGTGTGTGTGTGTGTGTGTCTGTGTGTGTGCATGTATGTGTGTTTGTATGTGTGTATGTATGCATGTATGTATGTATGTACATGTATAGTCAGTACTAGCTGGGGCCCCTTTCGATGAAAGGAATGATTGGTGCTTAAATGTCAACTTAAAGTAATTGGCATACTATATTTACACTCTACTGGAATGGGGCAATAAATCTTGAGAGATGCAAGAAATTAGAAGGTCTAGATCTAGATCTATGCTCTCAAAACAAAATGCACCTCGCGAAATATCACTTCCGGGTTTTCTAAAATTACAGATGCGTCGGCATAAAAAAGCGATCGGCGAAATAAAGAAATTTAGCTTTTTGCAGCAAAACTGTCTCAACACTAAAAAAAAACAAGGGCGTCATGATCTGGAGAATATTTTAAAGAATCTATTCACGAAAACCGCATGTCGATCGATGCAGCCATTAAAAAGCCTTTTGAACAGCAAAATGCGGCCGCCGCAAATAGATTATGTTGATTTAGTGGCTAGAAATACTTCTATATATATATATGTTCCTTAATACCTCTTTGTGTGAATCCCGGTGACAGACTTACTGATCGTCTTGTATTTCCGCAGATAACATCGGTTCACCAAACAGCCCTCCGGCTCGTCACCATCATCGGCTGTGTCATCTCCATCATTGCCCTGGCCGCCAGCTGGGTCACCTTCCAATGTTTCGCGTGAGTATATCAATATTATTGTTAGAGCTCACACTCTACTTTTGTCTTAGCCCACTACTGTGTTTCTGTGAAACAGCTGAAAATAATATTTTAAAGTTTTTAACTTTTTCCGGCTTCTGTTACCTTGAAGTGTGGAGGGGAGATGCAAACTTTTTTTTTCTTCTTTGTTGTATTGCCTGCTGTGTGATTATGTTATTCTTGACCCCCTCTAAACATCATTCTTTTTCAAAATCTTATAACAACGTACTATTTCACCATTTATTTCCCGACTCCTTTGAGGGCGCTACTGTACGTTCTATTTCTATACCATAGCGACGATTCGAGGTGTGCTACAAGTTCACATAGTCTTTCTGTCTGTTCCTGTGAATTTCTTGGCCTGCCCCTTCCTGGGTCCATCTCATCTCTGGCCGTATGCTTTCGCTGCTATACTGTGAGGGTGTAGTTTGGAATTAAGGCAAGCACCACTACATAGTTGTGTCTTGTCGGTGTGGTAGGTTTCTATTATTTTCCTTGTCCACAACTCACCGACAAAAACTTTTGGCTAACTGTACTGCCATAGTGCTGTACCGCACCGGGTTAAGAAATGTGGCTTGTCATCGTGGTGAGAATGTGTTTACTTGCTTGCTCTGTCTCTGCGAATTTTATTACTATCCTGTTGGGTTTTTTTTTCATAATTTTATTTCATTGTTAGTGAGTACTCCTATATCGTACCATGGTACAAATTCACAAATGACATATTTTTGTTTTCCTTATCCCCCCCCCCCCCCCCTCTTCTAAAACAAAACTACCGCCCACCACATTTTCATTTATCCGCCTGCCTGTGCAGCAACTGTTTGTCTGTGTCATTCTTTGAACCCATGTGATGTAAGCCTTCTCTACAAATCTTCAACGTTGTATTTGCTTTGGTTTATTCCTTGTCAAATGCGCCTATTCTCGTTACAAGCAGCGTTCGCTACAATTGACTCCAGAGCCATGCCAGAAATTAAAAGCTGCTCTTGTTCATGTCTGTTTTCCATGGGAAATGTGGCACTAGTTAACGGTGTCTCGAGCTGTGCTGCAAGTTCCCTTCGTCTTTCTGTCTGTTCCCATTGAATTGCTCTAGCTCAGTCTCTGGGGAAGGGGGGGGGGCAATATTACTAGAACTATTGGAATGAGGTCTCCCTAATAGTGCTATGCAATTTTGAGAAAACGAAACTTTATGCATATGGCACATAATGTGTAGGTTTATAAGTGTGGAGAAGATTGTGATTTTGGGAATGCAAAAAGGAAGCAGAAACTCTGGCATCCTTGCAGGAAAGAACAGAAGAACGTTCAACCAGATATGCAATGGTACAGTCAGTAGAAAGACCCTCAGCGACATTTTGGAGAGAGCAACGGAGCATCAATGGACTTGTCCAGAATGCAGGGATGTTGCTTCCTGAAACAATGAACAATGTATAGGTTTAACGCCCCTACCAGCATTATTGGGTTATTTAAGAGGCGGGACCTCCGAGTTTAACGTCCATCTCCGAAAGCACCGAGCCAAATGGAAAATTCATGTGAAGTGTCTTTCCCAGATACATGCCGGGGGCTCTCGTGGCCTAGAGGTTAAGGTGTTGGCCTCTCATTCAAAGGTCCCGAGTTCGAATCCGGGTAGCGACCGAAAAATTTATTCTCTAAAATTGTCTCCTTTCACCTCCTTTCCAGCTCTCTAGCAATGTTCTGTTGTCTGCTTTCAATTCCACTTTCTGCCCACGCCCCCTCACCTCCTTTGCCCCCTCCTCTGGGCTCCTGACTCTTTCTGCAGCCTTTCTACTGCTACTCCTTGGCTCCTCCTTACT